ACCAATCACAGTTGACAATACTTAACACCTAATTCAAATTTGGGAATGTGCGACATAATTGGTTAATTAAGTAATTTCACTACTTGATACTTTCTTATGTTTTACAGCCTAATATCGAATGCGATGGAGCCAATTCTCGATTTTAACGATCAGACATCCGTAATTTTTACAATAAATCGAAATCCTTTATTGTGACATTAATCGTACTAGAACAGGTAAATAAATATTTTTTTCTATCGATTGATGTATTAAATAATTAAATAAAATGGCTTCGTTATATAAAAAATTAGCGAAATGTTAAATGATAAAACATATATACCAATTAAAAAACAAACAACGGTCAATTTGAAGATCTTGCAGTTGATTTAAATTCTTGTGAGGAGAGAGAAAGAGAGACCTGGGAAAAAATGTTATATAAATGAACATATTTTACGTATAATTATATATGAAACATTTTTTCCCGGGGAGATATTAGAAATTCACATATTAAATCTCAATTTTCTTGATTAAATTTGAAGAGTAATCGATAAAATGATGCAAATTCAATGAAGCCGACTGTATGTAAATATGTAAGTCTGTTCGTATTGCTTAAAATTTACAAAAACGAGATAAATAAGTAGGTCCATTCACGTGCTTTGCATTAAAAAGAGAGAAAGCAAAGATACTGAGAGCAAAAAGTGCAAGCAACGCGAACAGACCTTATATTTGAACATTGAAAAGAGAGAAAGAAAAGATTCTGAATGTAAAAAGTGCAAGCAATGCAGGATTCGAAATTACAAAAGAAAGTTTTTTTTCTAGAATATTTACAATTTTATTGGTCGACGTCTAGTAAGTTTGCTCACTTTTGTAATTTTCACCTCGTGTTCAAGACACAAAATCTACTCCTTTATTGTGTGTGTTTTGTCGTACGAAAAATATACAGGATGTTTGGAAAGTAATGATAAATCTTTCGCATAGGACAGAATGAACTAAACTGAAAAGAAAATAGGTCCCCTTTACCATCTTACGCTTTTAGTAATAGTTAATAAGATATTAATTGCTAAAAGTTGCTCAAAATTGGTATTCAATAATTTTTTACTCAAATACTATCAATTTTACAGAAAAACTGTAAGAGACAAAAATTGTTTATTTTCTTCTCATAAAGCTCTAAGAATTTTTTCAGAATTTTTTAATACCGTACTTTTTCATGTTGGTAAAAATAAGAAAAGCAGTTCTAAAAAGTTAATAAAAAATTCTGTAAACATTCTTATAGCGTTTTCGGCCCGGCCAGGTTTGCACCAACTTGGGTTGGATTAATGGCGTTTTGTGCTCTCCTATTGGTAGAGCGGGTGACGTCAACCAATAGGAAAGATTAATCCAACCCAGGTTGGTGCAAACCCGATCGGGCCGAAAACGCTATTAGAGTTCTACGAGAAGAAAATAAACAGTTTTTATCTCTTGCAGTTTTTCTGTAAAGTTGATAGTATTTAAGTAAAAAATTATTGAAGACCAACTTTCGACAATTTTTAGCAATTAATATCTTATTAACTATTACTCGTAATCGTAAAATGAGAGGATTTTCCTTCTCAGTTTAATCCATTCTGCCCTTATGCGAAAGATTTATCATTACTTTCCAAGCGCCCTGTATACAGAACAGAGAGATGCTCAGATTTCTTTGTCCCATAGTCAATCAACAGGCTTGAAAAATTTGTTGTATGTGATAAAAACGCACAAATAAAATATCACTCTAATATCACTCTCGGAAGACACCCTCAAACTTTCGTGCAGAAAATTTTGTGCAGTATATCGCTCTATCGATAGCATATGAATAAGGATCGCGATTCGATTAGTTTATTATTTATCGACCGCAATGGGTCTGGCCTATCATTCGTACTTTCTTTCACCATTCGATTCGACGACCCTGGTGAAATTTGAGCAATCACAATCGCCTAAATAAGAGGGAGTGATAAAGGATGAGTTCACACTGCGGTCAGTGCGCGTGGGCAAATCGGGACAAGTTTGTAAGTGTTCACGGGTAATCACGGACTACGGAGTGGATTGGCGGTGTGTCTACAGTTTTAAACGGGATTTATGTGAATCGGCGTCTCGTGGTCGACCGTCTGTATCGACACGCCGATTTCGTTGGGGTCGTCGTCGCGCATACAATCGCGAGATTGCATCGCTTATTTACGCAAGATGTACCCGTGCATCACCGACGGATCACGCACGAAGCCGTTACATAGGCTATCGCCATCGTATTATAGCGTCCCCAGCACGAAGCTAAGGAATGTGATTTGCGTCCTTTGCAAGAGCAAATTTTACGTGCCAGGTAATTTCTGCGTCAAGTTAACCTCTTACATCGTGTCGTGTCCTTGTTCGTCCTCGCGTAGAGCTTTATCGATTCCGCATACCGGCGACGTAACGAATCGCCGGTAAGTCGTAATTGCGTTTCTACGATTTGTCTGAGATGTCCTGTCGTTGATGTATACGTCGCACACGATGTCGGTGGACACGACGTACTCGCCGAAATCCTATAAATATTCCTTTTCTGTGATGCAGCGTAAACGAGAAATGTTAGAGGTTAGAATTCCATGTGTACGTGATCCTGTAATGGCACACTCGTGAACTTTTTTCCTCTGTATTTACTTTGTAGTTTACAATATACAAAACAATTGTACGTATATTTTTCACGGTATAATTGAGTATTTATTATAAAATATCTGAAATTTATATATTAGGAACAGATGCGTTAAAGGTTTATATCTAATTTGTATTTGGAGACCTGTACTGTTTAGCTGAACTTCTTACACAGTTAATTTTTCTTTTTTTTTTTTTTTTAAGTGACAAGGAGGAAGGATGTGCAAAAAGTTCAAATAAAACAAACCTTTATCAAAATGCATAAGGCTTGTTCTTTTTAATAACTGAACTTTTTTCAAGCATATTATATTATTATATATTTATTATAAAAAAATAATGTAAGAATATATATATATATATATATATATAATTTGCTATTAAAGTACTTTTATACTTATAGGATTTAACGATCAAGCTTCAATAAACAAAATAGTGACATATATTACATGTCATTATTTTGTTTATTGAAGCTTGATTGTTAAATATTATAAGTAATATTATAAGAATTGTCTGCTATCAAAATACTTTGATAGCAGACAATTCTATTCTGTGTTATATAATCTAATAAAAATGATTTGTTTTGCCTACCTTGTTACCTTATTAAATAGCAGAGGAATATATAGCTTATATATTATTGGTTTATTAAATTGATAAACAGTTTATTAGATCAAAATAGAAAGATCTTTGTGTCAAAATTGTTACAGATCTATCAAATTTGAATCTCAATGGATCCATATCGAAAGGAACTCTCATACCTCTGTTGTTGGATTGTGGACATCCAATATGTAATAAGTGTATCAACGTTAAGTGTGTGAATCTTAAACAGTGTCCTAAATGTGATAAAATTATTGAAAATCGTAAGTCTTTGCATCCATTGAATTTATATGCACTAGGACTAATTATTTCGTCCTATCATCGTCCATTGGAAAATGATGAAGAATTTCTATTCTGTCATAAATTATCTTCACAATTACGTCAAATAGCAAAGAAAGGTTAGAGAATCTAGCATACTTTAAGTTATCTTTTCTGAAGAATAATATAATTTAATGTGCGTTTTTGATTATAGGAAACTGCCATGAATGTGGAAATCAAGCTAATGTAAAGTGTCCACAATGTATGGCTCTCTATTGTTACTCCTGCTATTCAAAAGTAAATTGGCACACCTATATGCATGATATTTACAATCAAATAGATTTTTTTTATATCTTACGACTTTGGTTCTGATTTAATTTTAGATTCATGGAAGAGCATTACAGAATCATACACAAATCCCAATATGTGATGGAAACTCCAACAGTCCTGCTGCTATGTTGAATAGTTGTTCACCAACATGCTCTGAAACGCTAAGCTATTTTTGTAATGACTGTAATGTGGCTTGTTGTTCAAATTGTACTTTGTGTTCGCACAAACTGCACAATTATGTACCCTTAGCAGAAAAGGTTAGTAGCGTTGCTCAGATTATAAGAAATTTATTATTGTATGTATAGTTAGGAGGAACTTAAACGATTTGTTTTATTGACAGAACCAAACTTTAATACCAAAATTCACCCAGATTTACGAGCACATCGGGGAAACGCTGCAGCGAGTCCATCAGACGAAAGAGGTGAGTACTCATTTTTATTAAATTTTTTTCTTGACGAGTAACTTGTTCAGTTACTACGAGATGCATATGCTAGGCAGTGATAAATAAATAAATTTATTTATTAAAACTTTTAACAAAGTATTAGGTACGTGTAGAAAGATTAACATATGGTCATTTAGCGATATACAATTCGAACATATCGCTTACTATTTTAACGTGGTTTTTTTAAACAGTTTCTGATATAAATTATAAATAAAATATTCTAGTCATATTCTCGCAAATACATGATACAAGTACACACTTTAAATATAAAGGATCATATATAAATTGGGATATCATATTTTATATTGGAGTAGAATAATTATAGATAAATGGCGAAACCTAACGGATTTTTCCCTATGAATGTGATATTCGCAATGAAAATATTAATTATATTCTCAACGCGCAATAATACTTCTATAAGTGTTACTATGTACGTTGTTTACTTGAGTAAAATTTTATGTGATTTAGCACAGTTATGGGAAGGGGATGCGGAGGGAGATTTGTATTAAATTTTATATTAAATTTTTATAATATCGAATCGTAAATAACTTCATTAAATTTTTAATTAAAAAATAACTTTCCAATCTTCAATTTTTTTACTTATAATTGATATCTTAAAGAAAGTCAGTTAGGTTTATTAGTAGCATCATTTACGTTGTTGAGAAAAATATAATTGTCTTATTTATCTATTTCGAAAGTTATGATTATTATGATTGAAATTTATAATTGAATCGAACCATTTAGAGTTCCATAAGATAGGTGGACATTTTTCATGATAAATAGTACGTAATAGTACACGCATATATGACTAGAGAGAATATAAGAAATACTTAATATCATCAGCCATTTCATACCCGTAAAGAGACCGTAAGATAATCTAACTTATTTTACGCGCGATGTGATTCACTCTATGCTTAAATCACATGTAACTATCATATACGTATTGCACTTTTCCGGGATTGTAAGACTCGTTATTACAGAGTTGTGGCCTTACAATCCACGACATATTTCCGTTATAATGGCAACGAGTTAAGTAATATACGTTAAGACTAAATTATTATAATTTAGCACATAACGCTTTAATTACGCATCTATTCTTCGTCGTCCGCCGTTTGTGATTTGCCCTTGTGCTTGCTTTTCTCTTCCTGCTGTTTCTTCTTTTCCTGTAACTTTTTTTCCTTCATTTTTGCCTCCATTTCTTTGAACTTGAGTTCCAAATATCGATCTACTTCTGGGCCAGTGAAATCTTCTGGGAATTTAGGCATAATTGGCAGGATGTATTTGTACAGTCGTTCATTTAGCACGTATAGTTGAGTAGTCGTTTCACATTTCACGTTGAACCACCAATCACACGTCAGTGCTACCTGGCTGAATATCGTGCCGTTTGGACATAAAAATGACGACTTGCCACCATTGAGATCGCAGTAATGCCATACCTGAGGACAATATTATCGTTGTGAAACAATTCTAGAAACTATCTTCAGCAATATAAAATTACACGGACTTTCAATTCAAAAGAGATTGTAGCAGATAAGAGAGATTAAGATTAATGTGAAAAATGTAAATATTAGGCGCGCGCGCAGAATATTCTATACTGAAAAAATTAAGAAATATTCATGTAAATAGTACTAACTAAACATTTACTTACAATAAATAATTATTTGTTATACTCAATAAAAAAAATGACTTCAATCAAATTGATAGTTTTTGTATTGAATAAATATATGTTTATATTTAGTAAATTAGTAAATTTAATTAATACTATTAAACAAATATTTATTTAAAAATTTAGTACATTTTTTTAGTGTACAGATTCGTTTAAGAATAAATGTTTACCAAATATAAACATATACAATATTTATTTGATACAAAAACAATTAATTTGATTCAAGTGTCCATTTTTTATTGTATAAATATTTATTTACTGTAAGTAAATGTTTAGTTAGTACTATTTGAACACTTATTAAAATTTAGTAAATTTTTTTTGATGTGTTTTTATTAAATTATAATATAACTCACTTGGCATCCGGTCGCTGGGTCACCGAAAAATCCTTTGTATCTTTGATCCTTGCAACTGAATTTGGTTTCCGGAATAGTCGCATATGCCGGATAATCGACGTTGGGTTTTCCACGCGTCGCGCCGTATTTTAATGCTGGCAACGGTATTTTCGACCCTGGACGCGTAACTTCATTCGGTGCTACATATTCTTGACTTAAGGACGCTTCGGTAGAAATCGGTAGGGTATACCGTTCATCCTGCAGGATATCGTCGCTCAGATCTTCCGTGATCTCGTACGAGTGTTCGGTGGTAGGAATAGGCGTAGAGGTTGGTCTGAGTCCTTGTTGTTTGGGTTGTTCATTGGAGATTTCTTGTACATATGGGATGTAGTATTCCACCTTTTCATCCTTCACATAGTTCAAGTTATAATCTGATTGCAACGACGGCTTGATTTCGACGTTGTCCGTCGGCTTGTATCGTTCGGGATCATCAGTGATTATCAGAGGGTTCGGTGTCACTTGAAATCTCGTCTCGGTGATCACCTTCGGCCGCGTATATGTTTTTGGTTTGTACACATCGTAACCGATCAATCTGGGCGGTGGTGGTGACGGCAATGGTCCTTGTGATTGTGGGAAATTTTCCTGCCGCGTATTGTGCAGGATATTCAGGATCTCAATGAGTGTTTTAATGCTGTTATCTAGATTATCTTTGTTCAGTGTTTCCGGTAATTGTTCGGATAACTGGAAACTCTCGATCAGATTGTTCAGGTTCACATTCGGATTCACATTCTGCTTTCGATAAAGTGGAATGACCGACGGCTTCACTGACTGCTGCTGCTGCACGTTTGCGTGCACCGGAATGTACCTCAACCCCTCCTTATTGGGATAATTAACGGCGATGTTCGGCCTGACCGTGTAATCCTGATCGTAATCGTCCTCGGGGTTGTCTAGCAGTGGTTTCTTGACCACGGGAGTGGAGAGTTGCAAGGGTCTTGCAGTGACATAATATCGATTTTCCTTGTTCAGGATATGACTTGTAGATGTGGTGATTTCGGGATAGGATTTTTGTACCTGATAGAGTTGATAGGACGGAGTGGAATACTCGTAGTTGATTTTAGAGTTGTATTTTACTGGCACGAAGTAGTCGTTATCGCCTCCGATGTTTCTAGGATCAAATTGAACGGATGGGACGAACTTCTTGTCTTGGTCGGGTGGATTGACACGATACTTATTACCACCTCGCCTCGGCACGCCAACGAGCCGAGTTACAGTGTGTTGCTGTGACGGAGGTTTCCGGAGCAGAGTCCCCGACAGCTCGTCCGCGTAATTTTGTGCCAACGCAGCCTGAGTGTTTAAGTAGTTATTGGCAACGTAAAAATTCATGTAGGGTATTAATCTTCTGTATCTTTCCTTGAACGTTGTCAGGTTCATATTCGCCAGTAATTCATCCCCGTCGTCCTCCGAAATAGCACTGGTTGCATTCGACTTTGCCAGCTCCGATGCTTCGAAGCCTCGTATTAAGAGAACTGCAACCGAAAAAGTCGCTTTTTTAGCTTTTCAAGCGGATTTAATTTTTTTTTCATAATATATGATTATCTAAAGATTAAGCTATTAAGAATGAACTTTATTGATGAATCTCTTGGTAATCTTTAATTTTTAGGCATACATTGTGAAAAACAAGTAGGTGGTTTAAAGATACATAAAGGTCGATAGATGAAGTGCCCAGAATAGTCTAAAAGGTTGTAGTTATATGGTTATATTTTATTTTTTACTAGTATATTATATTATAGTAAAATTTATATTTATAATTATACTTTTATGAGATAGAAGAATTTGAAAATGGACTACTTTAAGATTTCTGAGCATTTGGGCAATACTTTTTATTTTCTTTTTCCAGAACAAAATTTTAAAGAAACTATACTCAGATACGGCCACTATTCATTTACAGGATTAGTGGCATTGAGATAAACTATTCGATGGATTTACGTAAATAAAAGTGCATTATATTCATGATATTAAAGTTTTAAGAAAATAAATTATTGGTTCTGCGTACATTGGAGGAAATATTAGGAGCAGAAATAACTATTAAATATTAGAGAAATAAGAAAATTAGAAATATAGATTAAACGTACATGTAAATATAACACATATTACATGTTATATCTTTTTTGTATCTATTGTGTTTCACTTTTAATCTTTATTCTTAATTATTTTATTTTTCCAATATTTAATATTTTTATTCACGTTATTAATATTTCTTCCATTGTATGCAGGGTCACACACATGGCGTATAGTTAAATAAATTAGCTCTTGGGAATTTAAAATTCGAATGGAATTCACAGATTCGCACGGGACGGTACTGTCTCGTTGCGTTTTCGATGCATCATCACGATTGCATGAACGACCGCGTGCGGAAGAACACGAAAAGAGAATGAGAGATAACGTGGTACGTCTGAACGTCCCGACAAAGACGAATCATGGGGAAAGGGAATACGGTCGAGGGTTGAAGATTGAGCGGACGATAGAGCTGGGGGGTGGATTGGACGTTTTTAGCAGTTGCGCCACTCGGAACGTGCCAGCGCGAATATATCCTCTGCTGTACGAGAACACTGATACACGCGTGCATGCACGCACGTCCACATACGCGGCCTTTATCTCTTGCTATCTCGGAACACGTACAAAAGCGCTGGCCGGCTCTCCGAATATTTTCCTTCTAATTTAATTTCACGCGGGCGGAACGTGCGGTACGCGTGCGTTACTTCACACGTTTCCGGGGGAAGACATGTATTCCGCACACGACTATAACGATGCACAGTGGCTTTTTGAGAAGTCGATTAGAGGTATACGTTTTTTCCGTGGGATATCCTGAATCGTCACAGAGTTCTTTTCCGATTCTCTTTGTTACGTACAAATACCTTGTTTAGTAACGACCAAATTTTTCTGTAAAATTATGAATTTACTGGGTATAGTTTCTAATTAATCTCACAGTGTCGAAAACGATTTTGTTGAAGTATCTAAATATTTAGGTAGAATCAGATCTGAAAATAATCTTCAGAAGTAATATATATTGATATATATATTAAAGTAATATTTTTCGCAATAAATTATTTGTAGAGTTTTTAAGATTCTCATTACCATATTAATATTCTTATAAGATGTTTACTACACTGTTAAATTTGATGGGGTCAAATTAACTCAATGTGAATCGCCATTGCTCCTACTAAATATATCGTTATTTTTTACTAAAATGATAATTAAATTTGACACTATATAATGTTAAATTGATACTGTATAGTGTCAAATATAACCATTGTTTTAGTAAAAAATAACGATATTATTGAGTAGGAGCAGGCGACTCACATTGAGTTAATTTGACCCTATAAAATTTAACAGAGTAGCATCAATATTATTAAACTGTCAATTTAATATATGATATTATTACTTTTATATTATTGAGTAGGAGCAGTGGCGACTCACATTGAGTTAATTTGACCCTATAAAATTTAACAGAGTAGCATCAGTATTATTAAACTGTCAATTTAATATATGATAATATTACTTCAATTCTGTTCATGATTGTGCGTTTCAAGAAAAAGATATCGATTTACGTTACTAGATATGTATTACAATATATAAATTTACACCGCGGAATATTTAAGCACTAAAATCCGCTTTGACCGAAAATAGAAGTTTTTTCTCATCGGTTCAATTTCGTATTAATAATTGAAAGTAATTTTGTTCTATTTTGTTATAAAAATAATTATGTAGAAAACTGAAATATGATGAGCAACGCTACAAAAAGTTTTGACATTCTAGTAACTATCCTGAGCGTCCTGTATACATTTATTTTAATAATCCAACAAAATTATTTTCAAATTTTTAGCTAAATTTTTAGATATTATAGTAAAATCCTTTTTGTGTAGAACCGATCGTACTCATGAATATTTTTTGAAAAATTAGACTTTATATTGTTTATACAAAATGTATATTTTAAATATGCGTATATCATCAAAACCAACAATAGGGTCCTATTTGTTTACAGCGCGGTGCATTCCTACGGGAGCAATTGATCTACGTCACACCTCTTATTTTACAACGCGCTATGCATACGCACACATTGCTTTTATCTGAATAATTGTGTCACACACCGTTTAATTTTCAACTGATACATTAGATAACAATGATGTAATCGTACGACGTATTTATTACGTATTATGAAATGTTATATTCTTTTATGTGTATTAGATGATTCAATTTATTAAAATCAGAAATTTTTCAATCTTTTCTCGAAAAATATCAATTTTAAAAGGATTGAACGAATTATATATTTTTACGTAATTTTTCTCAATCAATTGCCTTTTCCTTTTACTTCCACAGAAATTCCCTCCCATAGAATATTCTGTGATATACGCTCTCTTTTTAATTCGCAAGCTTTGGTCATATCGTCTGGCTATTGTGTGGTATGGGATACGAAGGGAATACGGGGATGTGGAATAGTGAAGGAAAACCTGTGGTGCCGGATATAAACTTGCTTCACTAGACTCGCCATGAATTTTTATAAACCGATTATTTAGCGTCGATGTAACAAAGTGCAGCGCTCTCGTTGAAAGAGCGTCGCGGCGCACATCAAAGGGATCGTGCATCCCAGCCGCATATTTCTCCCTCTTGCTTTCTATCTATCTTTATCTCTATCTCTTTCCCCCTTTCGTGGATTACACACAGTTATACACACCGGTCCCGACCTGGAAATCCAATTCGATTCTGCATGAAATGAATCTGGAAACTCCGCTCGCGTCGCGTCGCGGCACGGCGTGGCACAACGTGGAACACGGCTCTCGGCGTGCTTTATTAATCCTGTCAGCTCGAAACGTGATTGAAAGATTCGCAAAGCGTGTGTGCCCGATCTAAGAGGAGCTCATCTTGAACATTTTCAAAGCATGATACGACATCGTACACGAAAAACGTTTTCTATACCTACGCACAAAGCGACGACATGGACGCGGAAATGTTGGATTTTTCGCGCAAATCCGCCTCAAGATATCATGTTTAAGAATCAAAGGAAATCTTATCTGTATACCGCCAAACAAATCAACTGTCGAGGGAATATCGCGGAAATCGTATTATCTGGCATTTGTTATTCGAGTGATTAACTTAAAAGGAAAATTATCGAGAAAAAGATTCTGATGGTTGTACTAACAAGAAGTATAAAGAAATGAAAGCTTATCGTGTGAATTAAAATTTTGATTATCGTAATTGAATTTCTAGTTACGTTCACTAGAATGTTTGATAGATTTAACTATAATGAAGTATTTTTAATCATTTCTCTAAGTCGCCACTGTTTCTATTCTCTCAATATTAATTTAACTAAAATAATAGAGTTAAACAATTCAACCCAGGAAAATGTATCAAACTGTATTGACTCAAATTTAGTTTATTATTTACTGTGCATATGTTAATATAGACGTTGTTTACTTTGAAATTAACCACAAAAATGGATTGATTTATATTTTGACGTACATGGAATTTAAAAAGAACAAAAATTATTTACTTGAGGGATTGGATTAGTATTGCTATCCTTTGCTATCTAACTGTGTTTCTGATTGAATCTATCACACTGTTATATCAAAAGAACCAAATTCTTAAATAAAATTTAGTTATTTTTAACTTTTATTGTATATTAAAATACAAATAATTCATTTTTGTGATAGTTTAAAAATAAATAGTTTTTATATAACGTATGCCCTTAGTAAATAATAAACTAAATTTGAATCTCAAATTTAATTCATTTTCTTGAATTAAATTGTTTAACTTTATTGTTTTAGTTAAATTAAAGAAATATTGAGTAGGAACAGTGACGATCTATAGAAATAATTAAAAATAACTCAAATTATTTATATAAGCATAATTTTACATTATGAATTTAATATACATATTTCCAATTAAATAACGCAACAAGACTTTTTCCAATGATAATTCGCGCGTATTAACAAAATTAAAAACTACGTAGTGAAAATAAATTTGGATAATGTCCGAGTTCGCTCCAGGAACTTTGTCTTAGAACAAAGAAATTAGAAGATGCGAAAAACCTTTCACTTTTGCCGAAAAACCTTTCACTTTCTCAACGAAAAAATAATTATTCTTCGTGTTGAATTTCCCAGTCAGACGGAAGTAACGTGGCTGCTTCCTTCTTCCCAAGTCATCGTTGATAGTTTCCCGCCCCAGATCTTCCTTTCTCTGTTCTCTTCCCTTGTCTCCGCGACATCTGTTCGACTGGCGAAATTCTAACTCGAACTCTTGTGTTGCGCAAAACCCATTGTCTCACGCGAAAGTACGACGCGTCGGATCCCGTACCGATCTGTCGGTAGGCAACCCGATATGGAATATTAATTGGGATGTATTGGTCTCACGAACTACGTTATTTCGAACGTGCGTGACTTGGATGTTCAACGGATGCTCGACGAATGCGATGAGGAGAGAACCGCGGAACACAGACGCTAGAATATGGTACGCTGCGTTGCTCTTGGTT